AACTATAGAAACCTGTAGTTTCAGGACATTTGTTTACAAACAGGACATTTTATCAAACTGGCAATAAAAGCTTTTAAAGGCTCAAGATGAGATGCCAATTATGTTTTAAAATGACTTTTAAAAATTAAGTATCAGAGCCAGAGGGCAAAATCTGTTGGGAAACACTGGTGGAAGTTTGGGGTCATGTTTTTGTTTTTAACTTTTTATGCCCACATGTGATATCAGCATGCAAAGAAAAGATTTTACTGGGACAAATGGGAGACATTCTTCCATAGAAAGTAGCAGAGGGATCCTGATCAGGACTGCCCTGGGATGAAAGCATTAATGTCTGTCCATTACCACTGCCCACATCTCAGCTCTCCATTTGTTTTAAAACCTTTTCATGAATTGCCACATGTGATTACCATGCTTGCCAGAAGATTGTGGGACCCATAGTCCAAAATTTAATTTTTTCAAGGTAAATAGTAATCTATGTTTGCTCCTAAAATGAAGTTGGACACCAAATGCAAGATCAATACCATGTTGAAACCAAGACAACATGGCTAACAGCACAAAATGATCATGAGCATGGACTAAGCAGGGCTGTATCAGACTTTCACTATTACCCTACACTTAGTGGATAATGCATTGATATTTAATGAAAATGTAATATAAACCCCAATTTTTGCCACATATTGGCTGACCAGACCTGAATGTTAGCAGCATCCTTAAGTGTTTCATCTTCATGTATAGATCCTGAAAGACCACCTCCCACATGAATGAGCTGCCACATAATAGGGATCTACTCTAAGGAGGGTTAATGATTACTGTAGAGTGGGAGTGCTAGGCATTTTTTTTAAAGATCCTAGGCTCACTTCCTTTCCAATGTATTCCTTTTGCTTGCACAAATACTTACAATCAGTCAATCAGTCGGGGAGGCATTTGAACAAGAAATCCCCCCCCCTTACCATTTGAAGTAGTATGGACCAACAAAAGCTCTACCATGTGACAGATTTGATCATTGAAGAGATTAATTGATCTTAATTTCCTGTTATATGAGAATCCATTGTGGGAGGAAAGTGCTTTAGTACACACCAGAGAAAGCAAGCAGATATTTCTCTAAGACAAATAAACAATGCATCTGAGGAAGTAGGCCCAAGTCCACAAAAGCTCATGCTACCAAGTTCTGTCTTTCAGTTACTCTCAAAGGTGCTGCAAAATCCCTTTGCCATACAGATAGTATGTAGCTATATCTATCTTTGATACGGTATCTACTTACAAAAAGACATAAATAAAAAAAGGAAATTTACACACTATAACATACATCCACCTATCTACAATGGCTGGCATCCTGTTCATCAGCTACGATGTCATGTTATACATACAACCTTGTAACTGTTTTCTGTTCACATTTACAACTGCAGTGCCATTGTAAATGCCCCCAAATGTCAGGGTCACCTTAATGTTCCCCTGCCATGAGTTTGTTCAAGTTGGGTTATATGAAGTTATAGAATAGAATGGTGTTATAGCTAGGGAATTCATTGTTGGAAGCTAGCTGCTGGGAATGAGTGGTGGGACTGGATGAGGAAAGGAGAAGACATTGGCTGTTACTAGAGAGTCAAGGTTGTTCTCCTGGGGCAGATGTAGAGCAAGGGGGGGCTAGGTGTAGAGGAAGGTTATAAGCTTATGGCTGGTTTTAAGTTAATTCTGGCAAAAACTTGTTTATTATGCTGAGCTTTTCAATAAATCCTTTCTGGTTCATCCATGAAGTCTGATTATTGAGTCAGTTAGAGATGGAGGCATCATACCTACCTTAAAATCCAGCCAGCCAGAGATAGTGTTTTGTGACACTGGTGAGCAGGATGCTAAAAATGATGCATCCAGCCCCCTCCTGTCAGCAAGATGCAATGTGCCAAGGAGCTGCAACAGGACACTGCAGTCTGCTTCTGATCTTTGCACTGCAGCTCAGTGTTGGGCATGATCCTTCAGTGCCCACTTGCCAGCACAGTAGAACTCCATGCCATGGTGAGGGTGGGTTTCGGGGATCAGATCAGGAGACAGGGCATAGTCACAAAATTGTATTTATGCCTCTGCTGCGGGATCTTGGCCAGTATGTTAAAAATATGAGGTCTCAATAGCTTACCTTTGTAAAACGATCACTATAGAAGAAAATATGTTTATTACTAAAATGGTTCTGATTACCTATCTATTTTTTTATTCCACAACTTCTTAAGTCCTTTGTTCTTGAAGCCTTCCAAAACAAGCAGATGAATGGCTCCATCTAGTATGTGAAATCCAGTAATAATATCCAGTGGAGAAATGTCTTCAAAAGGAAGCTTGCGATTTAGTTTTAAAGTATTAAGAGATTTTTGAATTGTAGGTAATGGATAAGACTCAAGATGGAGAGCCTCTGCATTAATTCTTGTAATCTCTTGCAACAAATAACTTAAAAGTGATGTATTTTTATAGTCAAAAATATAGATGATACAGCCATATGGACAATGTGCAGTTTCAGTGTCATCTAATTCATCCTCAGGATGTAATGGTACAGTTATTTCAACTCTCACTTTAAGATGTGATTCTGCAGTCACGTAATGCCCCATTGGCATCTGGGCAACTTGAGAGCCATCTGCTCCCCTATCCTTCTCAGCAATATTTTCTCCCTGGCAGAGACTTGTATCTTGAACTGAGCAGTTCTGAATAGGTGCAGTGAAATTCAAAGTCTTCTCACCTAGCAGTAAGTTTGCCAGGCTGATTTTTGCTATCCCATAAGGATGCCAAATTGCCTCTGAAATAGGATTCTGAAGCATATATCTAGAAGTGATGTTGTTCAAATTACTTAGTTTGCTGTCTCCTGGCTCCTCACCAAATAAAGAAGGCTTTGTCCTGATAGCTTCCATTTTCTTGTCTCGGTCATGAACTTCAATTTCCAGGGGTGGTCCTCTTAGATATTCACTCAGTTCTCCAGGTTTTAAAGTTCCTACAAGAACCACATTCATATCCTTAAAGAAAACATCAGTTCCATGATCTCGACCCTGTGTTTGATGGGGAAGCATATCATGGAATTGGTATTTGCAGTAAACAGGAACACATGAACTCTGCCAAAAAGAGAGAGAATATTATTTTGTAAATACTTACCGGTAGTTAAATCACTCCCCCCATGCCCAAACAGCTACAATATAATAATTATGAGAACAACTACCACCAACCCAAGAAAACCAGCTAAAACATCTGGAATCAAATCAGTGGTGAGGGAGACCAAACAAACACACATACACACACACAGAGCAAGTGGCTTCACATGCCAGGCTGAGAAAATCCGAAATGAAAAAAAAAAAAAAAAGACCCTCTTCATATTTCCTGTGTCAACAGAACTGGGAGACAGGCTTCCACAGAAAAATGGAATGGCTTCATATTGGAAAAGTCATTCTGCAGTTGCCTGGCTACAACCTACATAAATTGGCCCATTAAGAGTCTGGTTTCTAGTTATATTTTGGGACTAAAATCTTTGGTTGCTCTGAAGAGCTATTTATCAGGAAAGATGGACAGACAGACATTTCTCCTGAATGTAGTGTTAAGCACACCATCAATTATGCCATTCTTCTGGATCTCGTATCTAAAGAGACTACTACTCAGGTGCATCTAATGGTTTATTACAGGTGATCTCCAAAAGATAATGACAAGAGACTTCTGCTCAGCTTCATGATATTTGTCAGAACTGGCGTGCATGGATTCTATCAGGTCTTTCTTGTTGTTGATTTGAATATTACAGTTAATATATATAGGTTGTAGATGGTAGGGGATTGTGGATAAGCTAGCAGTAATAGCAAATAGGTTAGCTAGTATGGGGAGTTGGGAATAGTAGCAGCTGGCTAGGATAGTTTTGAGAAAGACGGGCCATTGGAATGTGTAAGCTATGGGATGCGGAGAGTTGGAGTCTGGCTGTAACTGAAAGGAGGGATTATGGGTGGAAATGCCTGAGATGAAGGGAGATAGAGCTGGTGAGAAGGTTTGGAAAAGGAGTGGCTGGCTTGATGGGGGGAAATGACTATGGGAATTGGAGGTGGGTGCGAGATTTGACACCAAGGGTGTTGGGAGGAGTTTAAAGGTTTGGGGGCTTTAAGATAGCGTTTGTCTTTGAGGGGATAGTTCTGGTTTAAACACTGACTGGTGAATTTCTGACTATGTGAATTCTTCAGTTGGCTAGTTATATCCTAGCAAACTAGTGCCCTACTCTCAGTGTAACTCCATATAAGTACAGCTACAGTATGATTGGGAGACAGAGTAATGTAGTGGTTTGAGCACTGGACTAGAACTCTGGAGACCAGGGTTCAAATTCCTGTTTTGACAATGAATATCCACTGGATGACGTTGGGCAAGCCACATTCTTTCAACCTCAGAGGAAGGCAAGGGTAAACCTCTTCTAAATGAATTCTGCCAATAAAACGCCTTAGAGTCACTATAAGTTTGAAAGTCCTTGAAGGTACACAACAGCAGCAACAGTCTAGATTAGAGACTATTCCAGCAAGATAACTAGTTTTTCACCAGCAAATTATATAAATGGAGAGATCTAATATGTCCATAAGTCCATTTCATAGCAAACAACTATTCTACAAATCAAAACTCAACAAATTAGAAATGCACAAAGCATTTCTTGTTATTTTCTCCAAGAATATCATTTGTTACTTAGATATGTAGAACCAAGAGGAAGAGTATTCTGAAATTACCTGCAGCACTTCAATTGGAACAGGAGTGGTTGGTAAACATCTTGCAGACTTAATCCTGATAACCAGTGGGTTTAATTCTCGTTTCTGCTTCTCGGTCATGAGAGCCTTCTCCACTGAGAAGCTTAGGTATGCATCAAGAATTTTAGGGGACTTTTCTTCCAGTTGACTTGCTACATAGCGTTCTCCTGAAAGAGGAGGAAGGGAACAGAATACTGAAATAATGACTGTAGAAATAGCTGTGCTTAAATAGAATGATGTTCTGTGTCACTGCTAAGCCGTTGTCTTCCAAGTGGAACAAACCAACACCCTCAGCCACTTTAGCAACTTAAGCAAATGACAAGAATCTCAAAAA